CATATTAATAAATATATAAATTCTCATTATGCTAACAGTGGTTATAACTCATATCATTATAGCATCTAAAGCATCTTAGCATTGAAATCATCTTTTTCCCAAATATCTACTATATTCTAAACTATAGCAATAAAATATAGGTATATATTCAAAAACGTTTTAAACGTTTAAACAACCATGAATTCTAAAAATCATTTCTCCTTTATTATGATGTTACAAAAATTAATCAAACATCTCTAAAGGATTTTCATATAAATCCAATTTAAAGTCATTTATAACTTTAATCTCCAACACATTCAAAGGTAAAACGTTTGACATTTAAACACTAATTATTACCTCTCTTTTTTTATTATTACAAACCTTTCTAATCAAAGGTAATATTAGAAATTAAAACCACTTAATATACCACCCAATGACTTTATCACATAGCTTTATCACAAATGCATTTTTATTCACCTTTAAAACCAATGGTGAAACCAATGTTAAATAGTTTTAATTGCTAACGTTCACATGGTATTAGACCTCATACATAAAGGCATTTAACAAAACATTAAAAATAGTTGTTAAAATGATGTGTCTAACGTGCAGAATTTGATTTAAGCTAAAATATTTTGCTTTTAAACATTTCTAACGTATGTTCATCTTATAAAAAAGAACCGTTCCGAAAAATGTTTTAGATTAACATACTAGATTATTCAAAAGTAATTATTAGTAACAGAAACAATTTGAGTTTCTTACCGATAATTTTCCAGCGATCATAAAATCCATCTTTCTTCACAACACGAACAATAGTAATTATTGTCGTATTTAGCAGCAGTAAGAATTTTGTTTCTAAATTGTTGGTAAAATAGACTGCTGCAAAACGAGGCGTTAGCACTGACTGAAAAATATTAAATAAAATAATCAATCAGAATGATAACCGTGTCGTGGTAATCCACTGTCTTAGAAGCAAATTCGCCCCGATGTGTGTAATCGCTACAATGGACGAACAACCCCCTGAGGTTAACACGACTCTCCAAGAATTCGTACACCCGAAAACTGGAGTGAACTTGGTGGTATTGCTCTTCTCTCAACTCAAACAACACTCAAAAGATAGGAGTGTTTCAAAGCAAATGTTTGCTTGGGATATATCAAAGTGAATGAAATTGCCCTCTATTTATAGGCTAAATAGGGAGGGCAAAATAATCACTTCCAAATCACAATTTAATTCTATTAAACATAGAATTAAAATCCTTTAAAAGACGGTTACAAATTGAGCATTACCAACATCTTTATTATGATGTTACAAAAATTAATCAAACATCTCTAAAGGATTTTCATATAAATCCAATTTAAAGTCATTTATAACTTTAATCTCCAACACATTCAAAGGTAAAACGTTTGACATTTAAACACTAATTATTACCTCTCTTTTTTTATTATTACAAACCTTTCTAATCAAAGGTAATATTAGAAATTAAAACCACTTAATATACCACCCAATGACTTTATCACATAGCTTTAACACAAATGCCTTTTTATTCACCTTTAAAACCAATGGTGAAACCAATGTTAAATAGTTTTAATTGCTAACGTTCACATGGTATTAGACCTCATACATAAAGGCATTTAACAAAACATTAAAAATAGTTGTTAAAATGATGTGTCTAACGTGCAGAATTTGATTTAAGCTAAAATATTTTGCTTTTAAACATTTCTAACGTATGTTCATCTTATAAAAAAGAACCGTTCCGAAAAATGTTTTAGATTAACATACTAGATTATTCAAAAGTAATTATTAGTAACAGAAACAATTTGAGTTTCTTACCGATAATTTTCCAGCGATCATAAAATCCATCTTTCTTCACAACACGAACAATAGTAATTATTGTCGTATTTAGCAGCAGTAAGAATTTTGTTTCTAAATTGTTGGTAAAATAGACTGCTGCAAAACGAGGCGTTAGCACTGACTGAAAAATATTAAATAAAATAATCAATCAGAATGATAACCGTGTCGTGGTAATCCACTGTCTTAGAAGCAAATTCGCCCCGATGTGTGTAATCGCTACAATGGACGAACAACCCCCTGAGGTTAACACGGCTCTCCAAGAATTCGTACACCCGAAAACTGGAGTGAACTTGGTGGTATTGCTCTTCTCTCAACTCAAACAACACTCAAAAGATAGGAGTGTTTCAAAGCAAATGTTTGCTTGGGATATATCAAAGTGAATGAAATTGCCCTCTATTTATAGGCTAAATAGGGAGGGCAAAATAATCACTTCCAAATCACAATTTAATTCTATTAAACATAGAATTAAAATCCTTTAAAAGACGGTTACAAATTGAGCATTACCAACATCTTTATTATGATGTTACAAAAATTAATCAAACATCTCTAAAGGATTTTCATATAAATCCAATTTAAAGTCATTTATAACTTTAATCTCCAACACATTCAAAGGTAAAACGTTTGACATTTAAACACTAATTATTACCTCTCTTTTTTTATTATTACAAACCTTTCTAATCAAAGGTAATATTAGAAATTAAAACCACTTAATATACCACCCAATGACTTTATCACATAGCTTTATCACAAATGCCTTTTTATTCACCTTTAAAACCAATGGTGAAACCAATGTTAAATAGTTTTAATTGCTAACGTTCACATGGTTTTAGACCTCATACATAAAGGCATTTAACAAAACATTAAAAATAGTTGTTAAAATGATGTGTCTAACGTGCAGAATTTGATTTAAGCTAAAATATTTTGCTTTTAAACATTTCTAACGTATGTTCATCTTATAAAAAAGAACCGTTCCGAAAAATGTTTTAGATTAACATACTAGATTATTCAAAAGTAATTATTAGTAACAGAAACAATTTGAGTTTCTTACCGATAATTTTCCAGCGATCATAAAATCCATCTTTCTTCACAACACGAACAATAGTAATTATTGTCGTATTTAGCAGCAGTAAGAATTTTGTTTCTAAATTGTTGGTAAAATAGACTGCTGCAAAACGAGGCGTTAGCACTGACTGAAAAATATTAAATAAAATAATCAATCAGAATGATAACCGTGTCGTGGTAATCCACTGTCTTAGAAGCAAATTCGCCCCGATGTGTGTAATCGCTACAATGGACGAACAACCCCCTGAGGTTAACACGACTCTCCAAGAATTCGTACACCCGAAAACTGGAGTGAACTTGGTGGTATTGCTCTTCTCTCAACTCAAACAACACTCAAAAGATAGGAGTGTTTCAAAGCAAATGTTTGCTTGGGATATATCAAAGTGAATGAAATTGCCCTCTATTTATAGGCTAAATTGAACTTTACCAACATCTTAATATCTAGATGCATGCCTTGAGGAAGTGTACTTAAAAAAAATAGAACTTTTCTTCTTCTTCTTTTGATAGAAATACAACTTAATTGATAATGAATGAACAGCATCCTTAATAACATATTTGATAGAAATACAAAGCAAGTTCTCATCCATCACGTAGCTTGGCGACCTCCGACTCAGTATATGAATCGTCCAAAATCACGATTGAATTATTTTGGGATTCCTTGCCTTCCACCGATGTCATTGTTCTGAGAATGAGTTTTCAGCAACCCACGAGCATTTCTAGAAAAGAGAAAAGATTCAGAGAAGAAAATTAGAAAGGGACAATTGAATAGAAAGTGAGCTTTGTCGATGGTATTGAGGGAGGAGAAAAGTACCAAGGGTTTCGGGCCTTAATATTTTACATTTCCACGTGTAATGATGAAGTGGATAATATAAATAAGCGTGGAATACCAAAAAAGAAAATATAAGCTCACTTAACTCCGAGTATTAAATTGAAATTTAAACTAAATATTAGGTATAATTTTAAAAAAGTTAAAATTTCAAATACTAAAACAGAACAAAATTGATAATTTAAGTACTAAACTTGTAATTTACTCTATAAAATATTATGATACATATAAAATAAAAAGTAAAAAATATATACCAAGTTTCTATTTTATTTCGATTATTTGTTGTGTATGCTTTTGATTCAAATTTTATTTTTGATGTGTGTTTTATTAGGTTTATTGTTTAGGATTAATTTTCATAAATGATTTTCTATATTTTATTTTTTATGTTTTCTTCTTAATTTGTCAAATAATTTGATATAATATACTATTGTACAACTCATATATGAAACATGAATAAATTATGAAAAATGTAAAAATAAACGCATACTTTTATTGATGTAAGTATATATATCTATAAAATCATGATATCAAGAAATATACATATACTTACACTAATATAAGTATGTTTTTATATTTTCACATAAATAAAAAAATTCAAAATAATAACAAAATATATGTTAAATTATTTATGTATAAATTTTATAAAAAATATGAATCAGAATTATTAGAACAAATATTTTCTATGAACTTTCATATAAATGTTTTTATTTTAATGTTGAGAATTTAACTTGTCAATAAGAAAATATATATCAAATAAAATTTGGTAAAATATATATTATTTTCTATCTTATATTTCTCTAACCAAACACTATAATCTTATATATATATATATATATATATATGTCTAACACATCAAATAAGGTAATACAACATTTCAAGTACTATTGGAGAAACACCACTAAAATTTGATGATATTTAGAATAGTTTACTCTTAATTTTAATTATAAATTAAAAAATTAACTAATGTATTTTATATATGACTTTCCGAATCATAGCTGAAGCAAATAATGAGATTAGCAGAAACATATTTTGGTTAATTGTATTTATGGAAAATACAAAAGGAAATGGGGTGGAACTTTAAGAGCTTATCGTTGCTGCTTCCACTGGATCTTTCCTGCCCCCCAATGTTAAAAGACAAACAAGTTCCAGTAGAAGGAGCAGAAAGAAGCCGAGGAAAGCACCGACCCTATTCTATTAGGACTGCAAAAATACATTTAAAACCAAAGGGTTTGAATTACTGTTCCTTCTCCTGATCATTAGTCTTTTTACTATATGTACATGCACATGGACTGCTTGTTGTGGGACTAACTACCAGATTGTAACCATCTTGACTTGAAGGATTTTGCCCTTTGAGGGGCAATGACCTCCAGAGCCCCGATAACACACTTCCGATACGAGAAATCTACAAACGCCTCGTCTGTTCTTGCCAATGAGAAGCACCGAGTATTTGGATATTCGGGACGGTTTACTACCTGCAAAACATAGGGAAATGAAGCATCAAAAAAACCTTTTTTCTTGTTCTAATGGTTTTCCTACTTCCAATTTCGCAGCGTATAGCTTACCTTTATTTCCTTAGCTCCACATCCAAACTTCTCGTCTCTTCGAGGGTGGAAGTACAATGCCATCATCAAGGTATCCCAGTCAGCCTCACTTACCCGGTGATCAATAGGATACCTATAGTCAACACAACCATGGGATCAGAGAATATAACATCACCAAAACCATCTAGTAAGCCACAAAGAGAACAGGGAGTCATTCAATGGAGGAAGAAATTTGATCACCATAAACATGCAAGGTAACCGACAATCGGAGGCAAGCTTACTTGTGCAAAATATTCCTTAATTCACGGGAAAGCCTCATAACGTCATTCAAGGTTAAAAATTCTCTCAAGATTGATCTTGTTTTTGTTTCAATCTTCTTCAGCTCATCAAAGGCAGAACCACCAAAAGCTCCCACAAATGGAGAACTATGTTTCTCAGACATAGAGTTAAAAGCTTCGGGTACTTCAAACCCTATATCCTGCTTCTTGGAATTCACAGATTCCCCTAGCAGCTTATACACATCAACTGTTTCTTCAAGCTTTTGATCCTGAAAAATAATAAATAGCATGGATATAATTAGAAAAATAACAGCCAAAACAAACTCCCCATTTTTCTTTCAAGCAGGAAAGCAAGAACCGGTAGACAACTAAGGAATTTGGATCTAAACCTCAAGTTCATAAAATCACCATGATTAAAAATTTGAACTTATGTATGGTTTTATCTCAACTACAGCCAAGACAAATAACATAGCTCATTTTTATACCTAGACCAGATTGAGAATAAGACCTGTACTAAAACATCAAAACGTACTCATGCACAGGATCGTCCTGTACTAACCATAGGATCGTTCACAAGTGTTAGTTGAGAAACACTTACCACAAAGATGCATATTCTTATAATGAACAAAAAGGGTGCATACTCCTCTATACGTACTTCACTCAGCAAACTTGCTCCCTCTCAAAAACCAACATTCTGAAGAGATAACCTATTACCACAACTCTATTCAGTATCAACAGTAATAGAGCTTCAGCTTTTTAACTCCTTATCACTTTCAAAATGCATCATTCACAAAAGAACTTCGACAGTATGTTATGTGTCACTCCATTCTTTTGAACCAAAAACAGAGATTTCAGACATATTCAAAACCCTACATTTTCCAATCAGTTAATTACACCTGTAGTGCGAATCTAATCCGCAAGGCTACTACTTTAAAAAAACAGCAAGAACTAAACAAAATACCTTCATAGAATATACTATATCAAAATGTCTACCAGTCCCAATACGAGGGACCTTTCCCCAAGCCAGTGTGCAATGGTCCCCTGAAGATCATCCAAAACTTCAGCCTTAGCAGCTTTGACAAAGCAAGCACTGGGATTCTGCCACAAATTGTATAAAGCTAAGTTGACTATAAAAATGTCTTACTTAAGCATCAAAGTAGAAACAATGACAGAACTAACCGAAAAGCATGCTTGCATGAAAGGGGAAGAGACAAATGCATGTTCTCTTTGTTGCTTCAAGCCTTTTGAATTCAAGCTGACAAACTCCCCAGTAGCTGACAGAGAATTGGCGGCAAGGTACAAATGTTCGTTTAGTATAGTCTTGCCAGTATCTGATATTGCACTCTTCATATTCTGCAAAAGAATGGAATGAGAAAGTTAACATATGCAGTTACTCCTATGATTTTCTGTAAATAGAAAACAAGGGAACGAATTACAAGAAGGAAAACAAACATTGAGAAAAAAATCTCCATCCAGCATCTATTCCAAATGCCAAACAAAACTGATTGATGTTATCTGGACGACTGTGTTTCCAATCAATCATATCCATCAATTGGAGGCAATCATTCATAAGCACACCCCAGAGTTTTGTTATACCAAAAGCACCGGATACAGAAACCCTCAAGTAAAGTTCACCACGAGCAGTTTTATGAGAATCTGAGGCTATGAGTTCATCATTCCATAAAATATCCACCTTCTTGATCTCCGGAAATCCTAAAGAAAAATTCATAAATTCAAAGGAAAAAAGAATATGAATATAACCAACTTGTAATCAACTAGTAATGCATATCTACATAAACAATTTAGGAAAACATATTTTCAGAAGGATGTCACTTCTTTAGGCTATTTGATTTTCTAGCGGTTTACATTTTTTCTTTTAAATTAGAATAGACCCTACTATAGATTCTATTTTTCCTATCAGAAATTTGGTCATACAATGATACAAGTTCAACTATTAGAACTCCCACCAATAAACAGACTAGAGAACTAACAGTGATGGATAAATGGGAAGTACATACTAAGGGAGGCGTATGACATTCAATAATTTCAAGAACATAAGAGTAACAGAAATAGTCTAATGGCAATCCACATGAAAACTTTAGATTCCAGCTATATATACTCAATCTTGATGGTAGATGTTGAAGAACAATAATGAGTTGTCTCTTAAGAGAATTTTAATCATTAAACCAAAAATCAGCCCTCAAATGGGATTCATAATACCAGTCAGTTTGGACATAAGTACAAACCTTTTACCACTGCTTCCAGAATGGAAGGTATCACCATGTCTCGAATCACATCCAATTCTATACGAGAACTTTTAGAGCATTCAACAATTGTGACAGTGATACAAAATGCATCATCTTCATTTTCAAAGTCAATAAAAGAACAATCCCTGCCATTCAATCAAAAAATTAAGCAAAAAAAAAAAACAGCTTTAGAAAGTAAAAAAGTAATTCCAGCGGACTCAATTTAAGCTTCCTTTTTCCCACCCTTCAGAGCTCAAATGCATTGAAACAACTACATCTGGAAGCATATATCTTGATACCTTCAAGTCCTCAAATGAAAAAAGTAAATTGAGTTTATGGTGATTATAATTCTTCATGAATCCAATCATACAACTTTTAGAAAGGGTGAGATTGGATTGATGTGCACCACAAAAGCAGACCAAAACTAAGGTGTAGGTCATAAAAACAAACGACTGAAGCTCTATTTCTGCATCAGAAGTTGATAAAAAAAAGTACAAAGATAAAGGTCATGATCTTAATATTGACTGAAAAAGCACAGATTCAGGGTCTTCAAGATTTCTTTCGGAAGGGCCTAGAGGGAAAAGGTTTTTAAATACATCCACATGGCATAAATAAGACAGTTAAAGGTATGAAGGAGCAGTGACATATGTAAGAAGTAATTCCGATGACTGAAATCTGCTTTATTCCTATATCCTTGGCCTACTTAGGTGTATAGGAATTAAGACACAAAAGGGGCAAGCATTTAGTAAAATTGTGGAGGATGGTGAATAAGTATAACAAAAAGATGAAATTATTGGAAAGATCATCAAATTTTACAATTTTTATCTTCCTTCATTATTTTATTTTATTTTATTTTATCTATGATATTTTATTTGCATCTTACTTTTTGTATATTTTTCTTTACTAAATTTAGTATAAGTACAAAGAAATGTATAAGTTGGGTTTGAACGGAACAGTCGGAAAAAAACGCTTGAAGTAAATACTGCTAGGAAGAAACTGCAAGCTGGTGGAGTGTATGCAGGCTACACATATTATCAGTGCACGTTCCAGTGAGCAACTCTTTATGGAAACAACTAGGCATGGTAAAAATGAGCAAACTAACTTGTTTGTAACTTGCAAGTCAGGCAAATCGATTTTCCACAGTCTTCTGGCATTGGAACAGTGCATGTAAAGAGAATCGATAATAGAATGCACAGTAAGCCTCCTCCTCCTCACAAGATCCTGGAAAGTACATACTGTTATGGTGAAACTCTGAAGTGGAAGTTTTATCAAAATAGATACAACATTTATGTATCACGTTACCTTGCACACATGAAAATGGCAAACCCAAGGACTAAAACGGTTTTCACTAGACATCTGTGGAGAGAAACTAGTGCCATAGAACCCATTAATAAATCTCAAGAATGCATTAAAGTTGAATGGGGAGAATAAAGCATAAAACAAGGACAAGATCTTTAATAAAGCATTAAAAACTCACATTATTGAGCAAGTAGACACAATATCTTTAAATATCAACCTCTCCAAATGATTCTTGACTTCTAAAGCTCCATACTCCTGACCATGTCTTCTCCTTCCAAGTTTACCAGATAAAAATAGTGACATAGTCTGGTCAGCATTGCTTCGTTTAGAACCACACTCAAGAACCCTCTGAACAATTTAATCAGAATAATATGTTAGTGTTCAACCATTTGCAATAATTTTATACATCAACCAATAATATCTGGCAGAGTGCATTGTGGTGGTACTGGTACATGAACATAAAAGGATATCATATGACTTAACCTATTATTAGATGGTATGTTACAAAGCGGCATGTATCGTAGTTGACCATGAGCACATAAAGATCATGTGTTTTTGTTCTCAATAGCATCAAGTTGTTATAAACTTTACTAGGTAAGTTTCAGCACATTAATTAGAATCCTTCAACTTTTCTGTAGATAAGGAAGTCATCAATTTCCTCATCAAGTTGGAAGGGAAAGAAAATTTCTTTGACAAGTTTTCCAGTTCTTTACAACGCCATCAGGGGTGGCATGAGGGGTGGGAGTGGGGGGGAGGGAGAGAGAAAGAGAGAGCACCTTCAAGTTCAGCAATGGTGAAGATTCAAGTAGACTAATTGGCTGGTCCAATGCGCTATATGCAGCCTCAGAAATAGCGCAGGCGGACAATGAACCAACAGGTTGGCCACCTATCCCATCAGGAAGACTACTGCCCTGACTTGCTAATTTGTCAGCACTAGTTGGACTAGATATACCCTTATCAATATTATAACAGAACTGAACAACCTGGTCTCCATATGCATTCCTCACAGTTCCATCATACGATGTGCATAGATCACGCATGAAGAACATCAACCGTCGTGAAAGTGTCCCAGGAAGGTCAGCATTGTCACTGAAAGATGTGTCTCTAGTAGTCACTGAATGAACAAAACATTCTAGTGGGTTCAGACCCTTCACAAAAAGAACTTTCAACCACAGCATAGGGGATATATTTCTTAGCAGACTCATCAGTGTCATCAACTTTCTGGGTTAAGCTGCGAGACTTTTGATTATTCCATGCAGAACATGAAAGCTGATGAGGAAATCTGAAGGATAAAGGTACAAGTGCATGTTGCACTCCAAGGCACATACTATGTTGTACTAACTTCAGCAAGTTACCCTTGCTCCCTGCTTTGAACACGGCGAATAGCGAATTGTCTTTATTTGCATAGTTGTAGAGCAAATTCTGAATATCACGAAAAACTTGCTTAAAAGAATCAACGGAAACTTGGCTAAGTGCAGCCGATCTTTGCTTCTCATAACACATCCACTCAACATTCAAAGCCATAAAACTATTAATTTCTTCATCATTTCCAGCAAGGGGATCATGATAAGAATCAACCATCAACTGCTTAAAGTTGCAAGTCTGCTCTGCCTCTTGCAGACCATAAAAGATTTCATCCATCATGTTCTTTTGTGAATTCAAGTCAGGAGATAGATATATGTCTAAGAGCGAAACGCTCAAACCCCTCATTGACAACCACTCGCACAGAACTTCCTGAGCAGCATACAAAAAGTCAAGGACCTCTCCTTGATAATATTTAATAAGACTTTGGAAGAGGTTGCCATCAACATCTCGTAGCCAGGTAGACCCTTCAGATGAACATATAAGCTCCCCATCATGAATAACAACATCACTTGGACCAAAAACATAATCAAATTCTGGAGGAAAGAGCATGCTGAATAACTGCTTTCCAGTACAAACAGGACTACTACATGAAGGAGCTTTGACAATTGCAGGTAACGGTGAACGATTGGGACAAAACATTTCCAGCTGTTGCATCTGGAATAGGTTCAATATAACCCCATCCTCCTTGACCAAATAAGCAGCCGTTAAACTATCATGACTGAGTGAGAGCAGATTTCTACCAATTTGGCCATTGATTAGCTAACAGATAGAGCAATGAGAGAGTGTTGATGTATAGAAGGAGGTCTGTTTATAAGCACTGTATCCCCATCGTTTAGGGGCCTATAGATAGTGTCCCCCACTTGGACCTTTTCATCATGACGAATTCTAACCAATTTACAATCTCTCCTGATGCGAATCTCACCTTTCTCAAGAATACGCAGATTACAACAAGTTTTTAGTCTCTCCTCATTCCACCTGTTCAGTTGCTCAACAATTTGCAACTTCTCGGCAACATGACATGGGATACCAATTTCATACAGTTTGAGGTTCGGATTTCCAGTAAGAACCATGCGGAAGCAATGGTCATTTCTCTTTCCTAGAATAACATCTTTCATATATCTTAAACCAGACATGTTGAAACTAGAATCTTTATTCTTTTTCATAACAGCAAAAAGCGAAGAATCTTCATTTGATGGCTTCACCACATGCAGCTGCACATTGAATGTAATCAATGAATAAAGCATAAGGTTTCATGAAAGTTTAACCAGTTTAAACATAAATAAATAAATAAATAAGCTGCATAACTTGCCTTAGAAATTTTTAGGCATTCGAACACATGAGAGCCCAATTCATTTGCTAGCCCTCTAAAATCAACCAGTTTCTTGTAAACCCTGGTTCTTTCATCCTACATCAAAACCATTAATCAGAAGGATCAGTCAATCTGAAAAGAAAACAGATGTAATGCATATAATTAGATAAACCATCCATACCAACCAAAGACCTTTAAAACATGTAAATGAGGATGTTTATAGAAAGACTCTTACAAAGATCAGTCGCTGTGCATTAGAAGATGTATGCATTATTTCTGTCACTCGATGACTATTGGGTGTCACAGTAAAACAGTTGAGGAAAATAGAGTCCGCATGTGAAATAAAGTTTTTAATGAACTTTGGATCAACGTCCATCAACAACTGTCGAACCTGAAAACCAATAAGCATTATTTACACGTAATATGGTAAGGAAAAGGAAGGTCTACCTTATATAAGGGAAGGGGTGGGCAGCATCAATACTTTATTCTGTTCTATGCTTTTAAAGAATATCTGAGGCGTCAATAATACTGTCCAAAACCAAAATACTCGTTCAGTACTGTAGCAACTAGGATATATTAACACAAGAAAAACTAGTTATGAGATATTTTCCTTCATTTTGTCTTCCTGACATGCAAGTAACAACAGTTTTCCTTGCCAAGAAAGCTCATGTAAAGCTTTATCTATTATAATATCACATTGGTTATATAGAAAGGAAAATCCCATTAAAACTCATGATAGTTCTCAAATCACTAATAGTTTTAAGTTAAATGATATTATTGTATGACAAGATTCCAAAACTATTTGGCATTTGCAAACTGGAATATATATTTTATGGAAACAACCAACTCACTCTCTTCCACCTTCCAAAAGCTACCAGCAAATATTGTTTAAGAATTAAAAAATCGAGAATTATTTTTGCTTCATGGTTAAAATATAACAAAGAAAATAAAAGGGTTCTTTATTGAGGAAAAAAGTAGTGTTAGTAAATATCAATACAACATAAAGTAGGTAATAAACGAGCACTATAAACTCACTGCAAAACATATATCAAAAAGAGTTGTGAATTAATATATCAAGATTTAGTGGATTGTATTCCCAGAAATAAATCCTATTAGATGACATTTTTTAGGCAACAAATAAATTAGTGAATAGCAAAAGAACATGCTACCTGGGAATGTGATAGGGCTCTTCTAAGTGGTCTCAAAAAACCTTCTTCTTGTTGTTGATCTTTTGGAATAAAATCCCAGTAATCTGCAGGTAATGCTTGCCTTCCTCTCTTTCGGACCTTCATTAAAGAATTTTCACTCACCTCTACCATAATTGCACTTTTTCTGAAAAGCTCTTTTGAGGTTATCTTGAATCTCATGAGTGGATACCAGTCTATTGAATTCCCCTGTTTGCCAGACATCATTAGCACAGAGAAAGTAAGAAAAAAATGGGATTAAGGAAACAAGAAGCTAGACAAACTTACAACACAATATTTACACCCCTTGGTTTCCAGTAATCTGGCTACAGTATTAGCACCCTGGTACATGCATGGGAAAAAAAGCCATCAACATTGCGTACTATGGGACATATTTTGCTCAAAAAAGAAAGCAAGCATGCTGGGAATCTATCAGAAAATCAGATCCTGGAGGCTAATCTCACTTCTAAAACCAGTATAGAGGGATGCAGGCTTTGTTTTGAATCTGAAGTTCTTCCAATATTATCGTAATTTCTATTTTATCCTTTCCCCTTTCTTTAGGATGATAAAAAGGAAAAACAATATTACATTACAATGGAAGAAAAGGAAAATGTATAGCAGTATGATGATCTTCAGTTGAAGAGGAGAGGTACCTGACCTTCATCCATATATCTTTCCGGATCGATTTACATCCTGGACAAATCTTATTTAATATATGTACAACTTCCGAAAGAAAAAAAGGGTGGAGTACTGTGTATGGAAATTTAATAACCCCAAAATGACCTGCAAAGAAGAATGGAAAGAAAACAGTACTTTATGATAGCTACTTAAAGAAAAAGTAAACAGATACAAAATATGATCCAAACTTTTTAATTGGGCATCCACCTTCACATTGTTTCATGTTTGTGGCATCACAAGTAGCACAATGATTAGAAAAATTTGGAAACCCCAACCTAGGATCAGACACCTCACCCGGTGCAGCAATTTCCATGGTAGACATGTTCTCCTGTCACAGTATCAGAAAAGAATGATAAGTGCTCAAATTGCAACAAGGAATTGAAATACTGAAATAATTAAAAGACTATATGATTGTTTGTCACCATGTCCAAAACAATGTGAAACATAAAGTACAGAAAAAAGGTATACATAACCATGAAGCAAAAGTTGTTCTTAAAATTATGGGGGCATAATATAATACGCTTGTTTCAACAACCAAAAACGAATAAAGAAGAATCTTAGAAACAGAAAAAAGCAAGAATCAGTGATTAACACATAGAGAAAGGTGGGCGGTGGCAGGATAAAATAGTTAACAATGAGTGGCTTCATAGAAAGGAATTTCGTAAACTAAAATGGAAACAAAAAAAAATTAGTTATAAGGATCAGGATGGAGATAGATAGACACCCCAAAGAGAATATAAGCATAAACCATACAGACATTAGAAGGTGGACATGAATTGGGTAAACCAAAATAATAAACTAATTACAGTATTATCAGTTCCAGCATACAAGTAAACAAATGGATGAAACAGTATCAAAATATACTTACATTATCAGCATCAGTGGAGACATGAAATTTTATGCCTGTCAGAAAGGCATTTGGATTTTCTTCCTCTTCATACAAGTCGCATTCCATGGAAGACATTGGCTTGTGACCTTGGTGACCAATAAACTATCAATATAGCATGCAACGAAGCATTCAAATAAAGTTTAATACAAAAATACAAAGACAAAGATAAGACAAGTAAACATGCATTACTAGAACTAGGCTTTAAACTATATCTATTTCAAAGGCCAGATAAAAAGTGAGTTGCTGAGGAATTATAACATACACCGAAAAAGTTTTAACACATGAAGATCTATGAGCACAACAGCACCCATAGTAGTATAAATAACCAATTTATTATGGAAGTCAAAAATTTACTGGAGGAACGGTATTCTAGAGCGAGAAACGGCTTGTCAAATTTTGTTAAACGCATCTTATCTAATCTAAGCCCATACAATATCTCAGGCCATGTGCTATGACAACTGAATGGATGAAAAGGGGTGTTCCATTCTAAAAAACTGGACAGAACTCCGGAATAAAGCTTAAACATGGTTCTGTACTTTTTCCAAAATAAAGCACTATAGTAATAAAGATGATGAACATTTAGATTTCATTCCACCTTTTCGGTCAAAGAATTCAATTCATTACTACTAAAATGTTTGAAGACCGATTCTCTTATTATGCTAGCCCAAAGCAACATAATCAAAGTCAACAAAGGGGCAAGAAAATTTAAGCTCATAGAATGTTACCAAAAGATAGAAATTATATTTAGAAGCAACAACAACGAAAAGAAAAAGCAATAAATAGTCTGGAGGTCAGCAAAAATAAATAGGCAATCACCACATTCAAACAAACCACGTAAATGAACTACCTGTAAAGCATGCATTATTAGGCCATATAAACCCTCCATATACCTCTATGCATACAAGAGCTATGCTTCATATTCTAGTCATGTTTAGTTACCAGTATGGAGAATAAAGCGCATAGTTAATGAACTGAAATTTTTGGAATAAGCCTCGGACCAGAATCCAAACTGCCATTTATAGCAGCTATAACCCGCCCCAAATGAAATAAATGCACATCACCATTGACAAAAATTTCAAAACAAAGCATCGTACTCACTAGATCAATTGACCATAGTAAAAATGCATGAGCCATGGACATCATCACTTTAAACAATAACACGAAAAAACAGGAGCAAAAAAGATAATAGCAAATCATTAAAACTAATCATATAGATAATCCGAAGTTTTTGATCAGGTCAATCAACATCAACTACGGACAGGTAGAGAAGAGTACACCACTGATTGGAAGTAAAACATGAACTTTAAGAACACACACAAGAACCAATATATGATCGACCACTGCTCTCATCGCTGAATCAATCATACAAAACAAAAACAGAATCCCCTGCTTTAATGTGCTAAAGTTCATCTAAATACCACTGATATAGCGATCAAGTTCATCAGTAAACATGATAGTTCCAAGCACATTGCTTGATGCTTCATATTTTGAAACTAAAACAATGCCAAAAACAACAAAGGGAAATAGCTTTAAAAGAGCTCACCATGCGGAACAAGAGAACCTCCTTATCAAATAAAAAGTCCCAAAAACCATAATCAAGCGGCGAACAAACAAGATCATCACAATCAGCCAAAAACCCAGTCGAAAAAACACAGAAAAGCAAAAGAAGGGAACACTGAACGCCAATCAAAACAAATAAACATGCAGCATTGATCAACACCCATAATCCAAAAAAATGCATCAAGGAAGACACATAAACAAAGATACATACTTTACTCACTTTCGATGAAAAGGCAATGTACTTTTTCCACTGAAACGACACTCTCGATGAGTAAATGAGAGCACAGGGAGATACAGAGGGAGTAAAAGAGAGGATGGGGTTATATGAGAAGGACCATCATTATGAAAGTCTTTCAAGTGAAGCTATTTAGAAAAGATAGAGAATAGTGGGCAAAACTATAAATAAAAGAAAGAATTAGGGTCAAAACAACAACCTCGAAATTGGGTTTTTGTTAAAAGAGAAAGAAAACACACACACGCACACACGAGAAAGAGAGATATAAAGACCCGCCGGTTTGTAACGAAGACAAAAATAATGCCACCCATTTCAAGAACTAGACTTAGAAGACCAATGCCGAAAGGTCCCATTTTTTCCCCTTTTCTCGGATCAAATTATCCCTATTCTTCCATTTAATTACGATTCTGGGATCAACCTTTTTTTCTTCGTTGTAGACATGTTAGGTTACTGTGTTGCTCTTTGTTTTCACTTTATTCACGGTGGATTTTATGAAAGTAATACTAGGTAAATTACAGGTTTAGTATCTAAATTATTACTTTTATTTTATTTTGGTACTTAAACTTTATTTCTTCAAAATCATACTTAACATTTAGTTTAAGTTTCAATTTAATATCCGTTGTTAAAAATTTAACAGAACTACTAATGTGACTTTTCTTTTTTTAATAATGACGTGGTATTACCATACGGTGATACGTCAATATCACCGTTGAGTTTTTAACGACAGGATACTAAAATTGAACTTAAACTAAATGTTATGTATGATTTTGAAAGAAATAAATCTTAGGATACCAAAACTAAATAAAAATAATAGTTATGGCGAAAAATGTTCAATTTACCCAAAATTTTATCTGCATGTATAAAAGGTTGGGTTGTTAATTTCCATGAGAAACTGTTTGATTGGATTTCTGGGGACATTTTAATTGTTAGTTACGCCTACCCCATACACATTACGAACATAAATAAAATAAAAATTATTCACCATGCCTAGTAGGGTTGTAGATTTTTGGATTCAAATCTGATATGATTAAAAAATATTCGAAAATTTGAATTTGTAAAATAATAGTGTATATTTAATCTGAAAAATTAAATATTTAATTTTTTAGATATTAAATTTTTAGATCGAATATCTAGATATTCAGACGTATATATGATTTGACATACTTATTATATATGTGACAAGGATTTTAATTTTTTTATTTCTTTAAAAATGTAAAAAATAAAACTAAAATTAAAATAAACACATATTTGCATCAATGTAAATATATACATCTCTCACTATCTATTTTTTAAAAAAATAAAAAGAATAAATTAAAATGAGCGTATACTTATACTAGTGTAAATATGTACAACTCTCACTTAAAATTAAACACATGTTTACACTAATATAAGTATATACATTTTCCACCTAAAAATAAACACATACTTATACTAATGTAAATATTTATATCTTATGTCTAGAAATAAACACATGTTTACACTGTAAGCATATATATCTTTCAATGTTTAAAAAATATTATTATATTATGTAAAAAGTATAATAAATTAGAGGAAGCATGCAAATGGTCCCCATATATATTTTAAATTCATCATTTTTTGTTAAAAAATAATGGGCAATTGAAGTTGAACGTTAACATGTTGACTGAGATATGCTAAAATTTGATCCCAGAATCGCAAACGACTATCATATCTCAGGCAGCATGTTAACGTTCAGCTCATACGATTGTCAATATTTTTGTCGAAAAATGATGATTTTGAAACATATGAATAGTCGAGTGATCATTTTGTAACTTTTAATAATCGATGAACTCATCAAAACAAAATCTTATAATCAGATGATTATTTTATAACTTTAAATAGTCTATCGCTCTACAAAACAACACTTTACATTCATGGACAAATTGTATACTTTACCCAATAAATTAACTAAATATAATCCAAATTAAAGAATCAAATTCCCTACTTTTTAATAGTAAAAATATGGGAGAAATGATTAAAATGAATAAAGATAGACAGAAATTAAAGATTCTTTATTGGTTAGAGGACAACGATGCCCAGTCTTGTGTAACTTTAACGTATCTAATAAAGTTTCTTTCATTGTCAGAAACTGATATCAGAACCCAAGGCTTTTCCCCTTCAAATACACCCTTCTCCACCATCACTAACTTAATTTCTTCAGAACATTTCAACATTTGTCATTGATTCTGTTATCAAAATTCAAACCTCGTTGGTTGTTACTTTGATACGGCTAAAGGAAAATTTAATCTGACTTGATATTTGCGAGTTCAGCTTGATGTTGAATTATTGAATAAACTTAACTCAAATACAATTATCATAATTATTAATTTTAGCAGTTTGTCAGCATGATTGAGATACTTTGTTGTTGGAAAATTTTTAGTTTCACTTCGAATCGAACTTAAAGCACGACTAATCATACTTTGTGTACAAAATTAAACCATCTTCTTATTGATTGTGTTCATCTCTTCTTATTTAAATGAAGAGTAATAGCTGATGGTTTAAATAGTTGTTGGTCGATTCAAGATCTTATGTTTCCATAGGAAAAGAGAGAAGAATACTGAATAGAGATAAATGGGCGACGTTAGTGATCGTGTTATGAAATTTGTAATACACTGAATTT